TGCATCTCAAATGATCCATCTGTTAAAATACTGACGTTTGCTGGTGACACAACAGTGATTGGTCTCATTTGAGACAATGATGAATCTGCATACAGACATGAGGTTGTACAACTTGCCACATGGTGTAACTGGAACAATCTGGAACTGAACACACTCAAAACCATAGAAATGGTGGTAGACTTTAGAAGAAACCCTCCCATACTACCACCTCTTACAATACTAGACAACACAGTATCAACAGTAGAGACCTTCAAATTTCTAGGTTCTACTATATCACATGACCTAAAATGGACACATAACATCAAAAACATCATCAAAAAAGCACAACAAAGAATGTTCTTTCTGTGCCAACTCAGAAAGCTCAAACTGCCCAAGGAGCTGCTGATACAGTTCTACAGAGGAATTATTGAGTCTATCATCTGCACCTCTATAACTGTCTGGTTTGGTTCTGCAACCCAACAAGACAGATACAGACTTCAGAGGATAATTAGAACTGCAGAAAAAACAATTACTACCAACCTGCCTTCAATTGAGGACCTGTATATAGCACGAGTCAAAAGAGAGGGCTGTTAAAAAATACTTATGGACCCCTCAAATCCCGGACATAAAACTGTTTCAACTCCTGCCCTCAAAACGATGCTATAGAGTACTGCACACCAGAACAACTAGACACAAGAACAGTTTTTCCCCAAACGCCATCACTCTGCTAAACAAATAATTCCCTCAACATTGTTCAACTATTTACAAAGTGTGCACTACTATTACTGTTAATCTTCTCATCACTCCCTATCACCCATCCCCTTCCACTGGTGATTGTAGGACTGTAACTTGCTTGTATCCTTACGATTTATATGGACTGTTTCCTAGTATGATTTGATTGTTGATTGTACCCTATGACTATCATTAAGTGTTGTATGTTATGATTCTTGATTCTTAACGAATGTACCTTTTCTTTATGTATACTGATAGTATTTACACCAAGACAAATTCCTTGTGTGTCCAATCACACTTGGCCAATAAAGTATTCTGTTCTATTCTATTACTGTTAATACTAAATAATAAAAAGTAAAGTTATCCATACCGTGTTTCTCATATAATAAGGCTGGGTCTTATTTTTTTTTGAGCCCCGAAAAAATGGCTAGGTTGTCTTTTCGGGGGTGACTTAATTCCCCCCCCCCTTGCATCTTCGGGCGGGCGGGCAGCAATGGCTTGAATGTTGACCTCGGCATTGGTGGGGCACTTCGTATCGGGGTCAACGCAGGCAGCACCATATCTGGGTGTGCAACAAAGGTACTTCCTAACGGCAAGCCCCCCCCCACCATTCCCCCCCATTTCACATGTTTTAATATAGGCCTTAATTTGGGGGGAGGGGCTTAATTTCATTTCATGCTGGGACTTCCTATTGGGGGAGGCCGTATTGTTGGAGAAACAGGGTATTATATTTAAAAATATTTATTATAAGGTTACTTGCTGTACTTATTCATCATCATTTTAATCTTTTTTATATTCAATCTTTGCTGCATCTTCATTTCAAATCACTTGCATTTTCAGCTATTTTCCTATAGCTGAAAGAATGGAAGCAGAGGTGGTATTCAGCAGGTTCTAACCAGTTATGGAGAACCAGTAGCAGAAATTTTGAGTAGTTCGGAGAACCAGCAAATACCACCTCTGATAGAGATTTTACAGTATCCTTCCCCTGCCATGCCCACCAAGCCACATCCACAGAACCGGCAGTAAAAAAAATTGCATCCGACCACTGAATGGAAGAATGCAACAGCTCTTGTCTAGATTATACAGGCAATCCTATATTGACTAGAAGACATATGCATACATGCAAACTTTCTTTTTGTTTATTACGAAGAAATGAAGTAGTGTAACAGCAAAAATGTAGCCAGAAGAGGGGGGGGAAGGGAGAGAGGGAGTGTGTGTGAGAGAGGGAGACAGGAATGGTATTGTCTTTTGGGGCTCATAAATTTAGATAGAAAGAATTCTACATGACAATAGGTACGAACCATTACATGTGTATTGGAGAGGTCATTCTTAGAAGCTAATTTAGGCATCTATAGAATTAAATTGCCACTTGCCTAGTTTAATGCTTCTATCCCATCTGAAACCAATATATAAATTACAAGCTAGAAAGTTTAATTTCAATATTTTTTTCAATTATGTGGATAGAAAATATGAACTTATGCTGAATTTTCTAATATATATTCTTAAAATTACATACTACACTTATCTAAAAATATAGAGCATGTAGGAGCAAAACTGCAAAAGATAATATAATAATTATCATAATAATTACTTAAATTAAATAATATTGTTTTTTAAAAGATCAGAAGAAAATGTTTAAAAAGATGCACACATATAAAAACCTGAATTACTTCTGAAAAGTTTAAGTTCGAGAATATCAGCTATTTGAAACAATGTTGAGTTACTGAAATAATTTAGGTTCTCTAAAACTAATGCTGTATTTTTATTTTATGTACTTATTTGTCAAATTAATAGGACTGATGCACAAGGTGACTCTTGAAATCATACAATAAAACCATCAATTAAAACATTATAAAACCACTTGAAACACATAAAGATAAGCAAAACAAGATCATGAGATCATGAGAGGGTTAAAATAAAAAATATTTTATATGATGCAGCCAACGGTTCTCTGCTACCAGGGAATCCCGGACCCCCAGCATGATGGGGAAAAAAACACAAGTGAAGGCTTTCAAAAGGCTTTAAGGGTTGGGGCTAATTTCACTTTGGAGGGGATTATATTCCAAAGGGCAGAACATACAATTAAGATACTTTTTGATGTTACAATTTGGTCCAGCTACATATTAGCAGCATTAAAAACTCTTTAATTATTATCAACATAGAAATTATGTTGGATTATTCTAAATCTCTGTTTTTAAAAGTACTTTAAGAATATTTTTTAAGGTGAATTTCAATTATTTGCATGAATTTTGGAGTACCCTATACTAACAAACAAATTGATCTTAAAGAAGATTATTAAATTTCTCATGCTTCTAAAATAAGATTAGTTCTACACCAGATTTTCTGGATGTTTATTGAGGATTTAGAAGAGAGTACTGTAAATGGATTCTTTGTTTATTTCTTTATGCTAGAAGTACAATATGATGCAGAGGACACACATATTATATCGGCTTTCTCTATCATGATCCAATTTTAGTTTAACTAGGTTTATTAATACAATTTTAGAAAAGTAGTAACACATATGTGAATGTGGTTTTGAAATTAGATTTTATAAAGCTATGAAGAATTTTAGATTTATATTAAGTATGGGTCATAGAAAAATACTACCCTTACAATGGAAAGACTACACCACTGATATTTGCAGTCTTAAATTTATGACAAGTACGGCTTGAATTAAATGGAAAGACTGGTCAATAATTTATGACAATTGAGCCCAAAATTGCTATTGCTAAGTGAGACAGTTGTTAAGTGAATTTTGCTCCATTTTATAAACTTTTGTCACAGTTGTTAAGTGAAACACTCAATGCTTAAATTAATGACAGGATTTTAAGTGAATCTGGCTTCCCCAATGACTTTGCTTGTCAGAGAGTGGCAAAAGATAATCACATGATCCTAGGACATTGCAACCATCATAAAAATGAGTCAGTTGTCAAGCTCTGTTTTTATTTTGATCATGGAGATCATGGAGATGAATTTTGATCATGGAGATGTTCAATGGTAATAACTGTCATAAATCATTTCTCCAGTCCCATTAGTGTAGGACTTCCTGTAATACCATGTAACCAATAGAATTTTAAAATATTTAAAAGCAATGATACATAAATATGTTGTATTTTTATTTATTTTTAATTCTACATATGAAAGTTATAAGATATTTTGACCTCATTATATGTAATGGCATTTCAAAAACACCTAGAATTAAGCTAACATTCTAAAAAAAAAATCCTTCCATTTAAATTAATGGGTCCCATAATGCTTACATTTGACAGAACCGTATCCATGTAATTTTTATATGAAGAATTAGGATGCTGTATAGCAGCAGCTCTCAACCTTTTAGTCTCCAGACCGGTTCGATAAAGAAAAGTTTTTCTGTAGATCTGAGGTTATGTAGTTTTTGCATGCTGCTTGCATACCATGGATGGGCCTTCACTTGTTTGCGTGGCCTGGTTGCTGGCATGCCACGGCCCAGGGTTGTGCACCCCTGCCCTGCTGTACAGTATTCTAACTTTCTGGTAAAAACTCTTACAATGAAACTGGAAAAGTTTCGGAAATTGTGTTTAAAAATTACTTTGATTCCAGTGAGGGAACAGTTGGGATCTGGCTTTATATTTAATAATATATGTATTTTTATTATATCTATATCATCCATCCATCCATCCATCCAACCATCCAGCTAGCTAGCTATCATAAACCTGGAGATTTTTAGACTCATCCAAAATTTCATAGAGAACCAATGTGGTTGGTTATGATAGAGTACCACAGTGGTTAAGACAATGGATTAGGACTGGGAGATCCTAACTTTCTAGTTCACTTTCAGCTACTGAAGCACACTAGATAGCTTTGAGATAGTCACTCTCTTTCACTCACCTCACAGGGTTTTTCAAATAATAAAAACAGGAGAAAGAATACAAGGCATACTGTCCCAAGCTAAAAGAAACAAGGCTGTATATGATTCAAATAAACAATGCATTTTAAACTGGAATTCCTCGTGCTCTCTGGGTTTGGGTTAGGATTATAGACATTTCATTTCCCATCTAGATAACATCACTCTAAACAACCAAGCTCAGAGAATATCAAGAACTTCACAATTCAACCCTGAACTACAGATATTCTCTTCTATTGAAACTTAAACCTTATTTTCAGTTTCAGATTCTTAAATAAATACAAATTAAGCAACAAGATTCTAGTTAAGGAATAAAAACTAAAAAAAATTCTTCAATGCATACTTATTAAAACTCCACATGAAGGAAAAGATAAAAAGAGGGAAACAAGTAAAAATAAAGTCTTACCAAAAGTAACTTCTCCTTTGCCCGTTTTGTCAAAAAGCTGAAATGCCACCATAAACAATGCATCTGGAGCACAGAGGACAGATTCAAATGCTACAAATTCTTGAAAGGATATCAACCTACAGAAGAAAATGTTATTAAAAATATAGTCCCTTATTTGTAGAATATTGAAATAGAACATCCATTTAGACCTGTCTTTCCCACCCTGGCCATCACACATATAGAAACTGCAGCTCCCAAAATTAATCTTTCCTGTTTCAGAAGATGTATAGTGTCTTTAGAAATAACAGCATCAAGTTATAAGTTTTCAACATA